TTTGGCGAGATGCCGAACTAAAGTTGGGTCACCAATTTTTTCCAGAATGTTGTCCCTTCAGTTGGAGCAACAAGAGCGAGCTAAATTGAGCTCGCCGAACTCGTCGGCGGTGTGTCAAAAAATCTTGTGGGTCGCCAAATTTTCTAGAATGCTGGTCAAAACTGCCCCTAGGGTATGCGATGCACTTGGGCAATCAAGGACCGATTGGCGATTCGCCGAAAGGGTCCTTCCATCGCCCACCTATTGTTCTGTTAGAATGAGGACTTCAACATGCACATTGAGTAAACATTATTTAACAACAACTAAAACTTGGGTTGTCTCCCAATTAGCGCCTTAGTTAACATCGTGGCACGACGTGAAAATGCTCTCACACATCTTCCAGATACACAACTTCAATTACTGGTATGTCCTGACATTCTTCCAAATAGAGCTTCAAGCATTACCCATTTACTTTGAATGTTGGTCCTTCTTTGCCTTCAACTTCAATTACCTCATTCGTTAACACTCGAGTTAATTTGAATGGACTAGACCACTACAATTTGAGTTTACCCACGAAAAGTCTCAAACAAGAGTTAAAGCAAAACAAGATCACCCACTCGAAACTCTCGCTAAAGGATTTTAGCGTCACGTCAATTCTTCATTTTTTCCTTTTAAAAGGGATGAACTTTCATACGCCATCGGCCGAAAATCATTCAATTTATGGAGTTGATTGATTGTTCCTTTAAAAGCATATCCCCTCAATTCAAGTTTAACGCCTTCAATTCCCATAGTGCCTTGTATTCAAGCTCGATTGGAAAGTGACAAGACTTTCCAAATACCAATTGGTATGGCTTATGCCAATTGGCATCTTGAAAGTGGTGTGGTACACCTAAAGAGCATTATCCAACTTTCGAGACTAGTTAGTCTGATTTGCATTGACTATTTTTGCCAAAATACCCTTAATTTCTCGAATTGATACTTCAACTTGGCCACTTGTTTGCGGATAATAGAGGGTTTCAACTTTATACTTGAATCTATATTTTCTCAACAACGAGGCTAACAACTGGCTGCAAAAATGAGACCCTCCATCGCTGATAATAGAATGCGGGGTACCAAACCTTGCAAACGTGTATCATTTCAAGAACTACACCACACTCTTTTCTTAAAAGATGGACAAAGCTATAGCCTCTACCCACATTGAGACGTAATCAACCGCCATAATGATATACTTGTTTCCAAAAGAATTCACAAACGGTCCCATGAAGTCTATTCCCCAAACATCAAATAGTACGACGTCTAGGATAGGGTTAAGAGGCAACTCATGCATTCTTGATACTCCTCTTTGCTTTTGGCATTGTATGCATTGTTTAACAAGAAAATGAACATCTTAGTATAGTGATGGCCAATAGTAGCCACTTTAAAGCACTTTGGCGGTTGTGCCCACCCCGCTATGATGTCCATTAATAGGCGAAGCATGGAAAGAATTGATAATCGCATTGACTTCCACTTTCGATATGCATCTTCAAATTATCTGATCTGCGCATTCTCTAAATAGTTATGGTTCATCCCCAATGTACCTCTTTGCGTCAAATAAGAACCTCTTTTGTTGGTTAAAATTTAGGCCCTCAGGCATAATTCCACACACTACATAGTCAGTGAAGTCAGCATACCAAGGTGAGTTGCCATGGGTTACCCTCATCACTGTTTAATCGGGAAATTCAGCCACAATGTCCCTCTCACTAGGATCAACAATATTTGTTTCTCAATGGCATACACCACTGCTAGCAATTCGTGATCCGTGATGGTATAATTCTATTGATCCACATTCAAGGTCTTACTTGCATAATAAACTGGGTGAAATAGCTTCCCTTTTCGTTGACCAAGAACAACCCCCAAATCAACACCACTAGCATCACACATGAGTTCGAAAAGAATACTATAATCGGGGGCAATAATGATTAGGGCTAACACTAGTTTTTATTTTAGGCACAAAAATTCTTTGAGAAAACGTCTTCAAAGTTGAAGGTAGATTCCTTCTCTAGCAACTTACAAAGAGGGTGAGCTACTTTGGAAAAATCATTTATAAACCGCATGTAGAAACCCGCATGCCCTAGCAAACTTTGGACACCTTTTACCAAAATAGGAACAGGTAGCTTGGCAATGACTTTGACTTTTTCTTGATCCACTTGCATTCCTTCTCCTGAAATTCTATGCCCAAAAACAATGCCCTCCTTTACCATGAAATAACATTTCTCGTAATTTAGGAAAAGATTGGTTTCCCACACCTTTGTATTACCTGGTCATGGTGTTCAACACATGCTTCAAATAAATCACCAACGACCAAAAAATAATCCATTGTAACACCCCGTATCTGAAAAAGGGAAATGAAAAAGGTTTTTGGAAGTTGTAGGTGCTAATCCCAGAGGCCAACCACGGCCTGTGGGTAGCACCACAGACCATAGTTTGGTCCGTGGACTGGCCACCATGCCAAGTCTGCAGAGGCTCAAGACCACGGTCTGACCTACGGACTATAGGTGAGACCACAATCCGTAGTCGGGATTTGTGGTTCACTGGCCCAAGATTCATGTTGATGACCACTATCGACGACTGTGCAGAACTGTCTGTTGTCCTAACCATGTTCCATCAGTAGTGATTATGAGTCAGAACTGGCAGCTGAGTTTCAGTGTTAGTTGGGTCTTTTTGTTATTATTTTAATCCTATACTTCATCGTTTGGCCTATTTGTAAGACCCCTTTATAAGAACTTTTAGCCCTAAATTTCCCAATATAAATCATTCTCTCCAAACTCACCAAAACAAAGAACTCTCCAATAATTCTCTCTCTAGAACTTGAAGAAAAAGTAGGATTCATCTAGGGTATCAAGTCAAAGGTCTCAATTCCTCTATTAAAGATAAGTAATTGGACTTAAGGTAGGATAGTTTTCATCCATGAATTCCTTTCGTTTATGGAGTTCCCAAATTCTCCTATTTTCAAAGTAGAAGTCCCCAAGTTATCTAGGGTTTTCATCAATTACCATGGGTTCTCTTGATTATTGATTTAAATGACTGAATTATGTTTTAATATGCATGAATTGATGAAATACAATGATTTTATGATATTTCCCCTATGAACCCATATATACCCCCCCTTATGTTTTCCAATTTTGATCATATGATGTGGGTTGTTGGTTATTATAGAGGAGATTTATGAACTAAAGTATGAAGTAATAGAATCAAATTAATTTATGATGAAATCCCTATCTAGTCCTTTATTTCTAGATGTGGTGATTGAAATTATGCTTTGAACCTTGAAAGGGCAAAGTATAAGTATATGCATGACCTTATGAAACCTATGAAAATGTTGAAGGATGCTTTCAGAGTAAAGTATCAATGATGATGTTGTTGTTGTGTTGTTGAAAGGAAATTCTCATAAACACAAACAAACATAATTGTGAAAGGTTTTCTCACATAATAAGGATTCTAAGGTTGAAAGGTGTTCTCACCTAATTGAATCAAAGATAAGGAGCTATCCTAATGAAACTTAGCTAGGATTAAAAAGATTACATGCTAATCCATGGACAATAAGAACAAGTTATAAATGACTACTCCGTGGGAATCATTCTTAGCACTGAAAGGATATTGAGATGGAGGCACTCCCGTTAGTAGAGGTTGGGTTTCTGTAAGTAATCTCTTTATCCCTTACCTATATGCCCCCATTGGATGATTCTCTTCATAGACATCAAGTGGATCCATTTAAGCTAGAAGTTCATGGTCATTACCTTGGCAATTAGGACAACCCTTTTAGTTGTGGGAGACACTGGTGGATCACGTTACAGCTCACATGGTTTCTATTTCAGTTAAGGCTCATTCTCAAAACAAAATGAATAATGAACTAAGGTTACTTCATGAAGTATCTCATATGTTCTCAAAGGTTTGAAACATGTTAGCTTGCATTGACCATGTTTTATGAATTGTGTTTTCTAACCTTCTTATATCAGGTTTTAGCTTGGTCAATTGCATGTTCATGAAATGTCCCATTTTAGCATGATATAAATGTTTTATGCATGACTATCATACTAGGTACTTTTTTCTGTACTAACTCATACTCTTGCCTATATTTTTCCCAAATGTAGGGTCTGGATATTCAGGGTTCTCAGTTTCGTGGCTACTGATTGGCTTGGTTGATTTCCTGAGCTGGGTGAGTCCTCAGGCTTTGAGGACAATGTTTTATTATTTTTTAGTTTCTGTCTTACTTTTAAGTTTTGGACATGATGTATGGGCTAGGCATAATTTCATTTTATTGTATTAGATGGCTAAAGAGACAGTGTCTAAACTTCCGCTTTTCTTTTATAAAATGTTTTGGACTTGAATATTGCTTTTACTTCTTATGTTCTATTTCTTATGTTATGAATGATAAGTAGCTTGTATGGTCCTCTCGGGGTCTTATACGTCATGTTACATCTAGGGTGTACTCCTAGGTTGTGACAAACTTGGTAATCAAAGCACAAGGTTTAGAATGGTCCTAGGATTATGTCTCATCAGCCACATCTAGACGAGTCTTGGCCATGAGTGTGAAGTGCACCACATTTATGGATGAAAGGCTACAAGAAGTTTAGGAAACTCTACTTCTTTCATTACTCTAAAGTTGTGGCATAGAGTTTAACTATATAGGGTCTCTCTCCTATTCCTTTTTCGATGCTCTACCGAATATTTCTACTCGAAGGGCATATGATAGAAGGAACATGAAGGAGAATGCGCAACAAGAAGCTCCTTCTCAAGTTCTGGTCAATGCATTCACCGAATAACCTATAAATATGGAGTTTAAGGCTATTTTTCAAGTGTTGGCTCAAGGCATGATGGCCCAAGCCAATAGGGAGGTTGCGATTTATGTAAATCCAAATGTGGGTACGGTGGCATCAATGGTAAGGGACTTTACTAGGATGAACCCTTCAGAGTTTCATGCCTCAAAAGTTGAGGAAGATCCTTAAGATTTTATTGATGAGGTATACAACGTATTGATGATCATGGGAGTGACTCTGGTAGAAAAGGCAGAGTTGGCCACTTATCAATTGAAAGGTGTTTCTCAAACATGGTATAACAAATGGAAAGGAGGTAGACCAGAAGATGCGGCTCCTCTTGATTGGGAGAAGTTTAAGGCTAATTTTCTTGATAGGTTCCTTCCCCTTGATATGAGGGCAGTAAAAGTGCTTGAGTTCATCAACCTTCGTCAAGAAAGTCTGAGTATAAGGGAATATGCTTTAAAGTTCACACAATTGTCAAATTATGCTCCAATAATGATTGCCGATTCTAGGGCAAGGATGAGTAAGTTTATGTCGAGTGTGTCTAAAATGGTGGTTGAAGAATGTTGTACCACCTTGAAGCGGAGAAACTTAAGGAAAATTCTAGGGAGGGGAAGAGGGCTAAAAGCGGTAATGGTAATTTCTCTCATGCATGGTTCGATGGACATGGTCGTTCTAGATTTCGACAAAGTTTTTCCGGTCAAGGTTTCTCCAATGCTCCTCCTAAGTTCAAAAAAGATAGGGTGTCTGACCCTAAGCCTCAAGGAGGGAACGGTAATGGATCTTCATTCCGCATGTCTACTTGTGCTAAGTGTGGAAATAAGCATAAGGGTAAGTGCCTAGCCGTCACGGATGGTTGGTTCAATTGTGGTTAAAGTGGTCATAAAATAAGGGATTTCCCAATGCTTACGGCTAAGGAAAGAGAGGGAAAGAATGATCCTCCTAGTGGTTCGGGTTCCAATGCTCCCAAGCAAAACCAATTTTATGCACTTCAAACTCGTGCTGAACAGGAGGGTTCTCCCGATGTGATTACTGGTATGTTGAAACTCTTCCAATTGATGTTTCTTCTTTACTTGATCCCGGTGCTACCTCATCTTTTGTGACACCATATGTGGCTATGAGGTTTTATGTTCTTCCGGATGCATTGTTAGAACCTCTTTCGATCTCTACTCCTATTGGTGATTCTATTGTGGCTAAAAGGGTCTATAGAAAATGTCTCGTTTCCTTGTCCAACAGATTTACTCTAGTTGACTTGGTACAGCTTGATATACTAGATTTTGATGCTATCCCTTCCTATAGATTGGTTACATTCATGTTATGCTTCCATTGATTGTAAAACCCATGTGGTCAAGTTTCAGTTTATGAATGAGCCTATCCTAGAGTGGAAGGGGGAAAATTTTACGCCTAAGGGTCAGTTTGTTTCTTATCTTAAAGCTAGAAATATGATTTCTAAGGGTTGCTTGTACCATCTAGTTAGGGTGAGGGATATAGATTTTGAAACCCCTACTTTTAAGTCGGTCCCTTTTGTGAATGAATTTCCAGAAGTGTTCCCAAATAATTTACGCGGTATTTCTTCCGAAAATGAAATAGACTTTGGTATTGACCTTTTCCCATTTACGCAACTTGTTTCTATTCCTCCTTACTGTATGTCTTTGGCAGAACTAAAGTAGTTGAAAGAACAATTGAAGATTTTTTAGATAAGGATTTGATCCTACAAAGTAAATCCCCATGGGGTGCTCCAGTTTTGTTTGTTAGGAAGAAGGATGGTTCTCTTCGTATGTGTATTGACTATCGGTAGTTGAACAAGGTGACCATTAAGAATAATATCTTTTTCCAAGAATATATAATTTGTTTTAACAACTTCAAGGGGAAAGTTACTTCTCTAAGATCGATCTTCGATCAGGTTATCACCAATTGAGGGTGAAAGAAGATGATATTCCAAAAATAGTTTTTCGCACTTGGTATGGTTATGATGAGTTGTTGGTGAGGTCGTTTGGTTTGACTAATGCCCTGACGGTATTTATGGAATTGATGAATATGGTGTTTAGACAATACCTTGACATGTTTGTGATTGTGTTCATTGATGACACATTGATTTACTCAAGGAGTGAAAATGAGCAGATTGAACATTTGAGGATTGTATTTCAAATTCATAAGGACCAACAACTTTTCGCAAAGTTTAGCAAATGTGAGTTTTGATTAAGGTTTGTGGCATTTCTAGGTCACAATGTTTCAAGTAAGGGTATTGAGATGGATTCAATTAAGACAGATGCAGTAAAGAGTTGGCAAAGGCCTCTATCTCCTAAAAAATTAGAAGTTTCTTGGGTTTGGTCGGTTACTATAGAAGGTTTGTTGAGGGGTTTTATTCTATTGCCTCTCCTTTGACAGCGATGACTCAAAAGAAGGCTACGTTTATATGGTCTGAAGCATGTGAAAAGAGTTTTCAAGAGTTAAAAAATAGACTTACTTCGGCTCCGGTGTTGAATTCACCAGAAGGAACGAATGGCTTTATGGTTTATTGTGATGCCCCTAGAATTGGGTTGGGATATGTTCTTATGAAAAATGGTAAAGTTATTGCCTATGCTTTAAGGAAACTTAAGATCCATGAGAAGAATTACCCTACCCCTAACCTCGAACAAGCGGCGGTTGTTTTTGCCTTAAAAATTAGGAGGCATTACTTGTATGGTGTTCTTGTTGACATGTTTACCGACTACAAGAGTTTGCAATATATACTTAGTCAGAAGGATTTGAATCTTTGTTAAGGAAGGTGGCTTGAGTTATTGAAAAATTATGATATGAGTGAGCTCTATCACCCCAGTAAGGCGAATGTGGTGGTCGATACTCTTAGTCGGTTATTTATGGGTAGTGTTGCTCATATAAAGAATGATAAGAAAGAATTTGTTTGAGACGTTCATAGATTGGCCCGCTTGGGAATTAAATTCGTAGACTCTACCAAGGGTGGTGTTATGGTTCATAATGGTTCCGAATCATTTTTTGTGGTGGATATGAAAGATAAGAAAGGTCTTGATCCAATTTTTTTAGAATTGCAAGAAGCGGTACTTAAAAAGGTTGTTGAGGCTTTCTCCCAAGGGGTAGATGTTGTGCTTAGATATCAAGGTAGTTTGTGTATTCCTAATATCGATGACTTGAGGAAACATATCTTTTTCAAAAGCCCATAGTTCTCGATATTCTATTCACCCGGGAGCCACCAAGATATACTGTGACATGCGGGAAGTCTTCTGGTGGAATGGGATAAAGAAGGATATTGAAGGATTTAAGGTGAAGTGTCCTAATTGTCAACAAGTGAAAGTTGAGCATAAAAAACCAAGAGGTTTATCCCAAGACATTGGTATTCCTACTTTGAAATGGGAAGAGTTAAATATGGATTTCGTAGTAGGGTTGCCACGTACTCGGCGACAACATGATTAGATTTGGGTTATAGTAGATCGGATGACAAAATCATCACATTTTATTTCCGTCAAGGTTTCCTATTCGACGGAGGATTATTCTAAGTTGTATTTGAGGGAAATGGTAAAGTTGCATGGAGTGCCTTTATCCATTATCTCCGATTGTGGTACTCAATTCACTTCTCAATTTTTTAAGTCTTTCCAAAAGGGCCTTTGTACTCGTATTAAGCTTAGTACGACCTTTCATCCCTAAACCAATGGGCAAGTGGAGTGTACTATCCAACTTTAGAAGACATGTTGAGAGCTCGTATAATTGATTTTAAGGGTAATTGGGATGACCATTTGCTATTGATTGAGTTTTCTTATAATGATAGCTATCACTCGAGTATTTATATTGCTTGATTTGAGGCATTATATGGTAGGAGGTATAGATCTCCTATAGGATGGTTTGAGGTAGGTGAAGTTGCCCTAATAGGTCCCCAATTGGTACATGATGCTATAGAGAAAGTTCAACTTATTACAAAAAGGTTGAGAACGGTTCAAAGTCGACAAAAGTCATATGCTGATGTTAGAAAAAGAGATCCTGAGTTAGATGTTCATGATTGGGTTAACTTGAAAATTTCACCCATGAAGGGTGTGATGAGGTTTGGCAAGAAAGGGAAGCTTACTCCCTATTTTGTAGGCCCATATCAAATTTTGGGGCATGTTGGTAAGGTTGATTATGATCTTGATTTGCCAAAAGAGCTGGCATCGGTGCATCCGGTTCTCCATATTTCTATGTTGAAGAAATGTGTTGGTGATCCGACATCCATAGTTCCATTAGAAGAGTTGGAAGTTAAGGAGAATCTTTCTTATGAGGAAGCTCTGGTTTATATTTTAGACCGACAAGTCAAGAAGTTAAGAAATAAAGAAGTTGCTTCCGTGAAAGTGTTATGGAGGAATCATTTAGTTGAGGGTTCTACTTGGGAGGCCGAGGCCGATATAATGTCCTGATATCCTCATCTATTTCCTTCTACCCCTACTCTAGCTTGAGGTAATGAGTTCTTCATGGTTCGTTCCTTGTTTTGGAGTCATGTGTTTTAAGTATTTTCCATGATTTCCTTATTTATGCATGTTCATGAAAAGTTATATTTTTGAGAAATGAGTCAATTTGTCTGATTTTCCTCATGTTGTTGTGCATTAAGAATGAGTTGCATGAAATTATTTATTGAACATGTATTATCTCTGCTATTGAGTATGAATTGCATAAAGGCTCCATGAGAGGATGTTGAGCATGCTTTTAGCTTGGAGAAGGTAGGTCCTCCTCGAACATGAATAATATTGAAATTTCATGCATATTGGGTTGCTAGGTCTAGTTCTTATTTCCCTTGTGATGCATTGAACATACTAGTTAGGAATTGATATTTTCCTCCTAGGAGATGTGCATTTTTAGAATTGCATTCATGTTGGGCTGCTAGTTTCCCATCTTCCTTATGATGTGTTAAGTATGTTTTAGCTAGGAGTCGATGTTTCCTCCTTGGTTGTGTGCATTTTGATGAGTTTGCATGCATAATGGGTTGCTAGTATTTGAGTCTTATCGTTTAAGATAAGCCTTAAATCTCATTCGAGGATGAATGATCCCAAGGGGGAGATATTGTAAGACCCCATATCCAAAAAAGGGAAATGAAACAAGTTTTGGGGAGTTGCAGGTGCCAGCCAACAGAGGCCAACCACGGCTCGTGGGTAGGACCACGGATCGTAGTGTGGTCCATGGACTGGACACACTTCCAAGTCTGTAGAGGCTCAAAACCACGGCCTGACCTACAGACCGTATGTCAGACCATGGTTCGTCGTCGGGGTCGGTGTTTCACTGGCCCAAAATTAGGGTTTCTGACCACAATCGATGGCTGTGCAGGACGGTCCGTCGTCCTAACCACAGTCTGTCGGCACTGGCCGTAGGTCAGAACTATCAGTTAAGTTTAAGTGTTAGTTGGGTCTTTTCCTTATTATTTTTATCCTATACTACGTCGTTTTTCCTATATCTAAGACCCCTATATAAGCATGTTTACCCAAAATTTCCCAATAGAAATCATTCTCTCCAAACTCACCAAAAAGAAGTTAAACTAATATTGATAGATAAGGGGATTGTGTTATACGATTGAGTTACAACTCAGAGTTTTCATTGTAAGTATACATTCGTGGTGATATGTTTGTCGAGGTACGAATTTGTAAGGTGAGAAATGATCAATTGTATCAGGTAGTGAACCTTTGAAAGGATTTACACTTGGTTTGATTCGTAAATTTTATTAATTTTGATTGTTAAAGTATCTGAGAAAGGGTTTTATTTAAAAGTGTTAGTTTAGAGTATGGTAAATGGTCGAAGTGTTCATTATGGTTATGAGTATGATTCACTAGCTAAGCCCACATTTGTTTTCACTTTGTGGGTGGATCCCTAGTGATGGATCAGGTGTACCGATCATGTGATGTTC